CTTACCCGCGGGAACGTTGCGCAATGTTTGTGCGGTACAGTGATCTAGATAAAAGGGGCCGATGGCCAATTGGCTCCGGCGAAATCGCGGAAAATCGCTTGATGCAGTTTTCGATAGCGCCGAGAATTCCCGCGGATGTGAATCGCAACAAAGTCGCATAAGGCGAGAGAGATCCGTCAGCCTAGACAGAAATTCACGAAAAGCTACAGTTTATTGAACCGTAATACTTTTAGTTATAACTTAGCACAGATATTCCATCTCGCGAATATAAAACGTGTAAACTTTTGAAAAAGATTTTTGCACAAATGTAACGATCGTAACAGTTAATTGAATATTAATCAATTCGTCAGAATCATAAATTAAAAGATGAATCTGCTCCCTGAGTCGAATTTTATTCATAGCTTCTTTAAGAGATTTCGTCACCAAATATCTTGGCAATCATCAAGCTAAGAACCGACAGTTTCTTCTTGGAGAAAATTTGAAAAAACCTGTTAGAACAGCTATTAAAGCAACTGAGCTAACCCGAATCAAAAAATTCTACTAATATAATAGATCGTAAAGTTAACAGGCGCACAAAAAAGAATTTGTTCATATGCGAAAAAAATGACATTTTACTGAAGTTTAGTTAAAAAGTTTAGCTAAATGCCAATCAAAAAATAATTTTGTTGGTCCATCAAAATAATTACGTAGGATACTCAACCTAGAATATCAAAACTTTTTACAACTCATGTTAAAGAGTCCTATATAATTAATTTGGTGATTTAACAAAAATATTTTCAAACCTCTATCTATATCTAAATTTTTAAATTCTTCAGCAAAACCATTCTCTCCGTGTACCATTAGAGTTTAATTTTTTCAACGCTAAACAATTTCAGAAGGGAGGGGGAGACAATTATCAAAATTCTCCAGAGAATACCGGCCGCTTTATTTATTGTTACCTACCCGGAGATGCAATTCTGTACACATCCGGTATCGAAACGCACGACCCTTAACAGGTTGAATTTTCTCCCGTCCGCCAACCACCTCCGCCCGCGCGGGCCGTTGCGCCGATCGCAATGGGAACACGGCCGTGCCTTTCGGACGGGGGCAAGAGGAAGTGGGGGGGCCCCGACGACGTTACCAAATCGGTATGGCGTAACATTTTGCTTATTCACGTTCGATTATACAATCTGGCACACTTTTACTTGGAGCGCGGCGGCCCGTCGAGCGCGCCTCGGTATAGCGCGCCGTCGTTACAGCATTTTTGTCCCTTACTTTCCAAATTTTACGCGGGCAGCAGTGTCCTCTTTTCTTAAAGAGAAAAAGAGAGAGAGAGAGAGAAAGAGAGAATGAAAAAAACATTTGTGTATTTATTTTCTTATCTTAAGTAAATATTTAGTAAGTATTTTATCTAAGAAGCTGTTGTGAAGTTGTTTCCGGAAGCATTTTGTGATTTCCACTTGAGTTTATACGCAACACTGCAATCGAGAAAGCAGAAGAAAACGCTAAGTTTTACGCGACTATTAGAATGAAATTATGGCAAAGCTGCTGCTTAATTCACTCGCATTTTCATGACGTTTCTTGCGAAATTTTACGAGCTACCCGTGAAGTTGTTACCGACAAGCATACGCGAAGAGGCAGGCTTATTCCAGCAGCCACGGAAATTTTCATTAAGGCGTTGTCTTATTAGCATATTCCGAGCGGCCGCAATTTACGGTCCGGTAAACGGCGATCATTCGTATATACCTTTCCGCGCAGCCACGAGTGGCACTTTAAACGCGCGCTAAAGACATACTTCGGCAATTTTTCCCTTCGACCAAAAGCGGTCGGACGCGCGTCGTAAAAAGGAGACTGAAGGCAGTCCCGCGCGCTCGCTCGCTCGCAGGATAATTTCAATTAGGGAAAGTTCGATCTCATTGTCGACAGTGTGTCGCGGCGGGAATTGCGGCCTGCGCCATCGTAATAAAACGCAACGAGTGTTGCCGCTTCCGCTCGCTCGCGCGCGCGCGCTCGCCTGCTACCTGTATATGTATATACACCTGCGGCCGCGTCTTTCTTCTATTTTCTTTTCGCCGCGATAATTGATACTCCGCGCTCGCACGCGGAGAATTTCACCGCGATTGTAAGTACGCCGGGAGCGCGCTTTCCACCGCGAGTCGCGCGGCACGTCAAGAAATCAACCTTGGCGCCGCGCCGCTCCAAGAGCGACGGCTGCCTCCGCGGCGGCGCGGCGGCAGCGGCGCCAGGTGCGCGCGTCGACGACGGTGATCAGCTGCCGATTCCCGCGTCGAAACCCGCTTAATGACGAAAAAGCGGAGACCCGCGGGCCGCTCCGCGCGGAGATATCATGGCCCTGAGAGATCTTCGCGTCCCGATCGCGTCCCGATTAATTATTACCTCGCGCGCACCGGCCGACCGAACCAACTCGCGCGGACTGACCCACATCGTCTACGCCTAATTAATTCCCACGACATCTCGGGACGATTGCGGACGAACGGTTTGGCTGCGTAAACACCGCGAGGCCTGCACACGTCGGCGAATCGGTAAAAACCTAACGCGCCACGAGTGTCCGCAATCCGCGAAATGTTATTCCGCGCGCTGTCCTCAATTTTAGGACACGCTGACATGCTTAATCTTAGAGCGCAACCTCCTTCAGAACCCTCATTACTGAAGAGCTGAATTTTTATGCTTACAATCGCGGAAAGGATTACGCTTACTTTCAACGTCGAAAAATGTGCTTTTTACATTGCGAAAGCAGTCGAAGAGTTTGCCGCAACAGTAGGCTAGCACACATTTTGTAACACTTTTTAAAATGATTAAAATGAACTCTAAAGAGCCTAAAGTTCGTCACTTTAACTTTAAAATTTATATTCTCTATTGTTATGAAATGTGTTGTACAGACATACGCGATTTTTGTACTTTGTCACAGGTGACGAAAAAGTTATCGAATTTGAATGAGACTAAATTCGAGAGACGTAAAACGTGCCACTCAGCCAATTTTTAATGGGTTTTACTTTGACAGAACTTCAATTTGAAAAGTTCGAAAATAGTCACGGAATATCAGAAGAATTTCTACGTTGTCTAAGCGTATGTAGAGGTTCATAAAGTATATATATGTTATTTGTCGACGGAGATAGTATATAAGCATCGAAGGAGAAAACTGCGTGACTGCGTCTGTCAAGATGCGAGAGCGTAGACGGAAATGCTTCGGCGGCAGGAAGCGAATCTGGGCCGTCGAATCGGAGAACGGCAAGTGGGTCACGAGAACGAGACGAGTCGCGCTCTGGAGGTGTCGACGTCGCCGTCGTCGTCGCTGTCGCTGCCGCTGTCGCTGTCGACGGCGGCGACGACGAGGAGGACGGAGGACGACGATGGTGACGGTGACGCTCGTGAGACCCGCGCTCTTCCACGTTCACCGCCGACAAGGCGAATCCTTTCACTCGGCATCTTGGCCACGGGGGAAGTCCTCCTCTTCGTCTTAGACGGACCAGACGGCTTCCTGCCTTCGCACGCTCGCACGACGTGAAACTCGACCCCCACACTTCTTCTGTTCCCGCGACAGCCATCTCGTCTTCGAAATCGCGGATTTACGTTCTAATTCCTTTATCACTTTCTCGCGTCTACTAGATATTAGAACCGTCGAGTATTTATGCCGGTATTTACTGTACGTATTTAAGCGGCCAATGTAGCGTTACGCGCAGCATTTATTGATGTCACTCGATACACGGTTATTAGACTGTACAATGTGAGAAAGCTATATAAAGTTTCACTTATTATTCGATTATAGCGGAAAGAGTGGAGAAGTAAAAGTGTCAACGATTTAAACGTCTCCTAAATAGCGCAATTTGATATATGGAAATTCGACCCTGCTTGTTTTAAAAATAAAAAAACTGCCTTACTTATGTATTTTTAAAAATAAAAACGAGTAAAAATATTCAAACTCCCGGCGTAAGAGTAAGCATAACGTCAATATTTATCTGTACCTTGCTCGCGACAATTTCGTTTCGAGTGGCAACATTTTATGGGGTCACAAATGTAACAATACAAATGTCGCGCTCGTACGTTTTAATCTTCCACATCTCCAGGTCTTTTACAACTCGTTTTGTCATATATGTATTTTTAACAGATATACATATTCTTTAATCATCAATTCGATGATGTAATACTTTTCGTTTCCAATTCGGCGGCGTTGCATTCGCAGAAAGATAAGAGTCCTCTCGCAATTAAAATGGAAAATCTAACTATTCGATCGTCGAAAGTGATGGAAAAGCACGGTATGTGTCACCAAATCGTAGAGAACATCTTATGTCGCGTGCGTGACGTTGCTCGTCAAAAGCGAAAATACATATTCCGTTTGGTTGGTCGACGGCGAATCGAATCGATATCTACGAAGACGGAATAAACTCCACGGGCTACGTAGTCGTTACGTCACGACGATCCAGTCTTCAGATGCGACCGCGAGATATCGAAATCACTGTTTCATCGAGTATTCATACTCCCCTCTCCCTTCCTCCCCTGCCTACTCCCCGCGCTTTCCCGCGATCTTCTCTTCCTCTTTCCGACCGCGCCGATCGATCGGCGATGAGAACGAAGATACATCTACTATCGTCGAAATTGTGCCGATAAGTAAACGAGGTCAAAGAAAAGGCCCGCCTCATTGCAAGTCTAGCATGAAATCCGAGCCGAGGCAGATTGCTATCCGTTTCCTCCGAAGTAATAGGGTAAAATTTCGAAATCTCTCGGTCCCGCTGTTCCGAATCAATATCTTTTTTTTTTCCTTAATTTTCACGTTTTCACGACAATGCGGAATTTTAATCGGGCGCCGGTTCCGAGATACACCGGGCTGGGTATTATCTGTTATTACCTGTTATCGCTTATTGTTCGAATTCGTCGGGGATTCGTCGGTGAGGGGGGG